ATTTTTTTTATCTATTTAATTAACAAAATTCATTCATCAATAATAAAATTATCTCTTCGTTAAAAATCTATTTTTTTCTCATATTTAATACATCAACATATTATAAAACATTGATTTTTGTTTATCAATCTCTCTCATTATCCAGCTGTGTATTTCAATATGATAACAAAGAATATACATGCATAAAGCCAACAGTGAAGAGAGATAATAAAGCAAAATTTTGTGCATGTGCATAAAAAAAATTATCTCAAAAAAAACAAACAAAAGAATCAGATCACATTCAAAATAAAAAAAAAAAAACAAACACAAAAAAGCTCCCAAAATATATTTGTGCGTTATAAAACACTACAAAAAAAAAGCACAACAAAAAAACAAAACAATCCTTTTATTTATTAGTTAAAAATAGCATTTTGCTGGCCAGCAGCAATATTCGCACCCACACAAAAGCACAAAATAAAAATAATAGCATAAAATTATTTCGTTGTAAATATAAGTGAACATACAGGAAGATACAAAATACTTATCTGATCTCATTTTATATGAATGAGATATATGTCTTTTTTTTTTATTTTCTAAGACGGTAGCTACACAAAAAAATAAGATAGAAATATACAATGGAAGATATATTCTATTTATACAAGCAAATAAATCATATATTGCTACTACTACTACTACTACTCAAATATTTATAAATATAAAAATTATTATTTAAAATGTTCTTCGTTTTTGTTCATCCAAATCTTTCATGTCCTCAATAAGACTGCTGCTGAGCTCATTTAATAATAAATCCATTGTCTAGAAAAATTATGTTCGATTATTAAAATCGAACTAAATTTTCAATAAAAAAAAACAAACAAATAACGAAATATATCAGTATTTACTTACAACATTCATATATGAATTAATATGAAATTTGTTTGATGCATAATTATCTAATGTTCTTGAACGATTTTCATCGATTTGTTGATATTGATCAACTAAATTATGAAGCATAGTTACTAAAAGAAGAAAGAAAAAACAATATATATATAATATTTCATTTGTAATTTAAATAAATAATTCTTTACCATCTAATAAACGTGAAAGATCATCAATATCAACAATAGAACCATTTTGTTTAAGATATTTTTGAATTAATTCATCTAAACATATTGTATCTAATAGTTTATTTTGTGCATGATCTTCAATTTCATTATATTGAATTTGATCAACTTGTGGTCTGCTTGTATTATAGATATTATAAGTAGTATTATACATCATTGGAATCTTACGAGGCTATATTAAATAATAGTTTAAGGAAGAAAAAAAAGTATATTTCAATAATAACTTACTTGATCAGCTAAAGTTTCACTACTTAATTCTCTTAACATATTTTCAATTTCAAAATCGACTAATTCTTGATTAATATTCGTTAATAATCGTCCTTGTACATCAGATGGTAAATCATGATATCGTAGTCGATTAATTGTTTGTAGAGACCGATCCTCTTGAAAATCTGATGATCTCAATAAAGATAAATTTGAATCGAAGTTAGATGTAGAAATATGTGGACGTTGATAATCAAGTTCACGTATCAAATCGTCGGACATTAAACTAACGATATATTTTGTTTTTCAGTATTAATAAGAAAAACAAAATTTAATCAACATACTAATTATTTGTTTGGTCTTGATTCATACGTCTATTTAATTCTGTATAATATCGTTCAATGTCTGATCTATAAGATCTATCATTTTGCTTTTTCTATAAACAAAAAAAAAACAAAAATCCTTCATAATTTTTTCTTTTATCTTTTTTTTATATTTACTTCTTGATCAAGTTCACTAAAAACTTCAAGTAACATATCTGGTATAAATTCATTTTCAATACTTCTATCAATAAAATCATTTATATAATGATTAGTAAATGCTTCATTTTGTGGTGAAGATGTATAATCCGACAGTTCCTAAACAAAATATTATTTTTTTCTCAAGTTTTTTACAACAGACAGAAGAGAAAAAGATATTATTGAAACAGTATCATATGTCATTATATCGGTTAGTAAGATGCACAAAAAAGAAAAGAAAAGAAATTGTTAATCAGCACACTCACACGGTGAAATAGTTGTGAAGGAAAATAAAGCATTCGTTCAGGGTATGCATAGTGTAAAACTGGATCATAGACCGGTGCTATTCGACGTGATGGCAGTATGAAATTACCACCATCACTACCACTCACAGGTGGAGATAAAAGATTACTTAGATGAGGTACCACAATGTATGGCTAATAATATTTAAAGTTTTTATTTATTGAAGAATATATATATATTTTTTTATTATTGTATACCTTCTTTTGTCTTTGAAGTTCACTACCCAAACCATAACGAGATAAAGGTGATGGATATCGTCGAATTAAATTAGCATTTAAAGTTGAACGATAATCAGTTGAATTAAGACCCCAACTGTCAAGACCAATTGGCGGAGAACTACGATATGGATGAAGAAGAAATGTGATTACTTAAAGTGGATTTTTCTATACATGTGATTCAAATTGCGGACAAAAACTGCCAATAGATCATTTAGTATAATGTGTGTGTTGTACAGACGGTAGTACGACACAAACGTACAATATAGGTACTTACTATAAATCATCAAGTGGTGGCAATGGACTATTAAATCGACGTAAATTATAATAATTTTGATAAGGTCCACTACCAGGTGGTGTTACTAACCTAAAATAGATTGTCTCGAAATACTCGAATTATCTTATGATGATTAAAATATTAATTATTTGGTTGTATAAGAATGCTGTATATGTCGAATATTTTATACATGTGACAGAGTTGCTGATAAAAAAAAAGTATATTTTACTTCAAAGATTGGTAAATACATGATGGTATTACTTGAAGATATTTTTCAAATAAATGCTAAATAAGTCTGATTAAAAAATTGGTATGTACCCGAGTATTAAACTTTAACTTTTTTCTTTCTCTTTTCTTCGTTTACATAATTGGAAATATTGCAAGAAATTTACATAAATTTTTTGAGTACATAGTAACATACAACACAAATAAAATAAAACAGCAGGAATAATAAAACAATTTGAAAGACAAGATTTATTATAAAGTGTATGAAGACCCCCTACGTATTGTTTTGCTGTCTTGTAGAACAGAGTGCATATGATTTATTTTCTCGTTCACTGCATAAATGTAGAGCAAGGTAACCCTGTCCCAACAGTTCATTTGTTATGCATACTTAGACGATAATTTCCAATGATAAACATTTCATTAAACTGGAACTCGTCTAACAAACAAAATAGCTTCGTTTGTCTAGTCTGTCATGTTATATCGTCTTCCTGTTTTTTTTTCAATACCTATTATGCAAATATATGTTACAAAATGAAATTCTTTTTTAATTGTTTTTGACTTTTTTAAACACATACTTCCGAGAGAGAAAATTATTTGTTTGAGTGTTAAGCAAACGATAGCATAAAAACGTATAAAGGTATATTCATATCTATATTTTTACAATAAAATTATTCGATAAGACTTTTTTTTATGGTATGATCACTTAAATATTAAATAATGTCAAATCAATACATACTGTCGTAATCTTGGTGGCGTAACAATAGGACTATAGAATGGTCTTGATTGAAATAAATCAAGATCAGTTGGTTGTTGCCAATTGAGAACATTTTCATTGATACGATTATTATATGGTAGTCGTCGTTGTTGTTGTTGAAATGTTTTTTTCTTTAATATCGATGTTGGTTTATACATTGAATTTTGTGATGAATTATTTCCAAATCTAAAGTTTTATTATTTTTTATATTGATTTATTTATTGGCTTCTATTATTTGTATATGTTAATAAAAGAAAAATAATACCGTATTTTAATACTATTAGGATTGTTTTTTATTGTAGAATGATATTGTTGTGAGATTGGTTTTTTTGCTCGAGATTTTTTAGTTGTTGGATATCCGATAGTACGTGAACGATTTTGATATGTACTTGCCATTGAATATAATAAGTATTGATTTTCAAAACTCAATTATGATCGATTATATACTCGTAAAAGAGCAAACATGTCAATTATTTAGATGTCATGGTAACTTAAATATCTAAGTCTTCGATTATGAAAAGTAACTTGTGAAAATTATTTTTTGTTTGTTTTTTTTTGTTGATTTATAATATATTTCAATAGATAGTTTTAAAAATTATTTAAGAACTTTTTTTTTTCTCTATTTTAGATCACATTTATTTGATTAGTTAAATGTATTAACCAATAAAAAGAAATATTCAAATGAGTCATAAGTCATAAAAGAGTTTGTTTATTATTTAAATGTTCTGTTATCTTTTCTTTGCTCTATATTATTATTATTATTATTATTATTATTATTGAGCGTTGATTATTTTTCAGGTAAATGTTTATATTTATAAAAGAAATCAAGAGAATTATATTTTCTTTTTAAATTGTTTTAGATAAATTGGTAAGTCTATAAAAAGAGAATTTTTTTTCTTTTTTGTTTTGTTTTTTAAAAATAAATCTACGTGTGAACATATACATCATACACATTGATTTCTTTTCATTCTTCTAACTGATTTTATTTGCGCAATTGGTTTTTAAGAACACATTTGATTTTCTTTTCTCTACTCTTTACAACATCCAATATATGTCTTTATGTTGTATGACTTTAGTTTTAGCCTTCGCTCTTTTTCTCTCGATGTTGCCTCAAATATATTTTATACCTGTAGGTAAAAGAGGAGAGAGAGAGGGACGTTAGTAGAGTGGCAATAGAAAAAAACCTCATTTGTAATGTCGTCGTTCGTCGAATACTTGTCACCTGTCGTTGGTGATGTCGTTTTTCTTTTTTTTTTTTTTTTTTTTTTTTTTTGTTCGTTTCTCTCTCTATATTCTATGAGTAATAACAAATGTTTCATTGCATTACATTTTTATTTCGTTTTACAAAAGTGAGCACAGAGTGAAAAAGAAAATAGATTTGGATATAAAAAACATCGAATTATGAATGATATTTATTGGCATGAGAAACGAACTATGTCTTCAAAACAACTTTCATCACCTCCACCAACACAACCTAGACGTTCATATGAACATGCACTTCGAACGAAACATCATCAACAAATGAATATGCAATTTCATCCACATTCAGCAACAACAATAACAGGTCGAACAGATCCTTTATCATATCTTCACTATCCAACAGTATCTAGTCGATCACATAATAATAATAATAATAATAATGCAAATTTTCCATATACTTCAAGCACACATGGTGTTTATCGTCAATCTCCACCCACTATTGTAACTTCACCTCCGTTACATTTACATCAAAACAGACACTTCGATACAAGAAATCAATCTCCTTATTCTGAACAACGATATTTTTCTCGTAGTATTAGTGATGATTATTTTACAACAAAATATGATGAAATAAATCGTCTTAATGATGATATTTATGGTGATGAAGATGAAGATGAACATGATTATGAAGAGAATAGTTCCGAAAATTTCAATTACATTTTCGAAAATACAGGTGTAAGTTTAAGCGAGAAAGAGAAATTCAAAAAATATTTGTCAAACTAATACAAATAGTTACTTTTCACTATTTATTTCCTGTCGTTTAGTTTGTGCAATAACACACTTATGTGAATAATAAATTTGATAAAGTTTTTTTTTTTTTTTTTTTTTTTCTTCAATTTTTTTACGCTATCTATGTTAATCGAATTGAGAATATGTGTAATTTGATCTTTTTATACAAAACAAATCGTTCTCTTTTTCTTTTTTCTTATCAAATTAATCTAATCCATTTACATATATGTGTATAATATACATATTTCACTTCCGCAAAACATATTTTTAACGGAATAGAACTTACTAAAGAATATGTCTTTTTATTTTCTATAGGTTAGAGGAACAGAAATAGAAAAACAATAACAACTGTTATTCTTTAATGGTTTTTTTTTTTCTTTCTGGTACATAATATATTTTTGCATTTTAGATCCTTGTATGATACCTCACAACCTTACTTTTTTTCTATAGGCTACATTACTAATGCGAGTAATCGTTTGTCGCTTTAAGAATATATAACAAGAAAAAAAAAAAACGAGAAGTATATATTGAGATTACAACATCGTCTCTCTTGTTTTCGTTGTTGTTAGTATTCTTTTCTATAACTGATTGTTTTAGGATTTAGGAATCATTTCTTATCTTTTATATCCTACTCGTCTTCTTTTCCTTTGTATCGAATCGATAAGCTCTTGCCTATACATAACTTATTTATCTCGATGAAGTTATGGATTCATCTTTTCTTTTTTTTTTTTTTTCTTTACTTTCTCACTCTCGTTTTCGGATAGGATGACAAATATAATCATGATCATTATTGAAAAGAGTCATGTTTTGTATATAACGAACACATATATCCATATATAGTGATGAATGAACAATTGATTGAAAAAAAATTAGGGTCAAAATGTCATTTTGTTTTTGTATTGACGTATATAGATACGAAAAGAAGAAGAGAGTAGTATGTGTGTGTAGGTTAGATGACCTTCATTTTGTTATTACGCGTACTCACGTCCGTTCGTTTTCTTCATTCGTTCGGCCAGACACTAAACGAAGAAAAAGAAATAACGGGAAGAAAATTTTATACTACATTGAAACAAAGAAAAAAACGAAGGAGGAGAGAAATGTGAAAAGAAACCAAGCGAAAATTATCATTTTCATTAAAGGCGAACCGAGAAAAAAAAAACCGAGAAAGTGAATCAATATTATTTTGCCATAGTATATGTAAAAGAGGGCAAAAAAAATGGGTTTAACTAATTCTCGACGATGGTGGCGAGTAGACGAAACATCTGAAATACATTCGTCTTTTATTAACAATATTGATGAGAAGAAGACAACAAACGAAGATGAGAAAGAGGAAAAAAATGATGAGGTATGTTTTTAATTGATTTATGGATATACTCCAATAGTCAAGAGAGAACTCTATTGGCATTTGGTATTTTTTTTTACACATCATATATACGTATGCATATGATTGGGTTCACAAGTGGCCTTCTCAACCTTGGTAGACATGGTTCACTTCAGTGATTCATTCATTCATTTTTTTTTCCTCTTCTCTTTCTCTTATGAGTACTTGCTCTTTCGTACTTACTGATAAGAACGATGAAAAAAGAAAAAAAAAATTGAACATTAAATAAATATATTCAATGTCTTTTTTTATGATTTATTTGAAAGGATGTGATATCACCAGTGAATTCACCTATGGCAACATATCGTAATGTTGGACCTCTAAATTCACCGAATACAAATAATAATAATAATAATAATTTATCATCAAATTTAAATCGTGATTCAATCGATTATTCATCAACAAAATATAATCAACAACAAAATTATAAATCTTTAACAATGCCAAAAAATCATTATCAAAATATAACAACAACAACAACAAAAGATTTTCTTCCAATAGATAATGATACAAATTATGTAACAGCATCATCATCATTAGATACTGAAATAAATTCAAATATGAATGAATCAACAAAACGTATGAATAATCCTAATGGAAAATTTTCTATACATAAAATAATTAGACAAGGTATTTCATCATTGCGTACACGAAAAAAACCATCATCAATGTCAACGCCACCACCACAACCCATGCCATCAACAAATCCATTTTATGCAAATGCTCCAACACCACCACCATCTCAACCTTCTTTATCAGTTGGACATTATGTGACAAATAATGATGATATTCCACACCCTCCTCCACCGACAACTCTACGTTCTATATCAGTTGATTCAATATCAAATAATACATCACCACAGAAAATTATTGTTACTGAACCAGTTACTGTTTCAACAGTAAGAGCAAATAGTGTTGATAGTGTAACAATTGATTTCGATCGACCACCAACAACTACTCGAACTTATATTCAACCATCATGGACTAGTTCTACAACCCCTACAGCAACGACTATTACAACAATTAATACTCCTATTAATACAGAATCAATAACTCGACAAACACCAGTACCTGCTACTCGAGTATTACCTGTACAATTTACTGAAAATAATAAAATTTCTTCACCACGATCTCCTCCACCGTTACCACCACCATCATCATCATCATCATCATCTGTTGCACCATCACCTCTATCATCCAATATATCATCAATAACGACCACAACAACAAAAACAATGGAAAAAAATCATGCTACAAATTCTTTAACAAAAATCCCATCAAATCCAACTAAAATTCCACCTCCTGGTATAATAGATTTTTTTTTTTTTGAAAATCTTCTAATAAAATTTTTTTTTTTCTTTGTTTCAGTTGCTCCCAAACCTGATGCTAGTCGTTTAACGCCAATTCGTACAAATTATTTAAATAATAATAACAATAATAATAATCATTTTTCGTCTTCTACTATCAATCCAATGCTACCACAACCTCCGCCACCAGCTCCACCACCAACGACAAATAATGTAACATTTACTACAATACCTTCTTCATCTTCTTCAAGTTCGACAAGTACAATTGAACAACGTCGTTTAATTTTATCTGATAAACTTACAATAAATCAATTTAAACCTATTCCTGATAATAGTACAACTATTTATGCTAATGTTAGTTCAATTCCGACAATACGTCCAATAATTGCTAATAATATTTTAACATTACAAGAAAAATTTCAAATACGTTCTTCACCTGTAAGTACAACAAATTCATCTCCATCACCAATACCAATAACTTCAATGAATTCAAATACTATTTCAACAACTATAACAAATTCATCATCACCATCAACAAATTCTTCATCAACACCACCAACAACAACAGTTATTCAAACAAATAAACAAATTACTGTTCAAGATATTGATACAACTAAATATGAAGAAATTCCTGCTAAAGAACCAGATTTAACACGACAACCAGAAAAAAGTGCATTAAAAAAACCTAATGGTGTTAAACGTCGTGTTATACCAGTATTTAGAGAAAATCAACGTCCATCACCACGGCCTAGTCCAAAAACTAAACCAACTGTTGTTATAACTGCACTACCATCAACAACACCAGTCAATGATGAACATAATTCTGATTATGAACAAAATGAAAATTATTCATCTGATGATGATGATGATAATAATAATAATAATAATAATAATGGAACAAGAAGACCTTTTGCTAATGTTAAACGTAATGATTCATTAGCACGTTTTCTTAAAGATCGTCCATTACCTAATGAATTATTTGATAAAAATATTCTTGTTAAACCAATGGATGAACGTAAAAATGAACGTGAAACAATTGAAACAAAATTAGAACGAAAATTATCATTAAGACCAAGTCCCGAAGAACTTGAAGCAAGAAATATTTTACGTGCAAAAACACAAGCTGAATTAACAGCAGAAAAAGAAGAAACAAAACGTTATTTAATACGAAAACTTAGTTTTAGACCGAGTATTCAAGGTAAAAAATATTGATTTTCAATTTTCGAGGAAACTATCATGAAATACGATCTTAATAGAATGTTGAAGGATAGGAGTAAAAAACGTACACTCTCCTCCTTCATTAACCATGACAGATGCTAGTTACAAACCATGACAGACTGTGACAAACGCTAGTTGTAGGCCATGATAGATCGTAACAGACACCTTAACAACACTCTCCATCCCTCACGACACAGGCTGTGACAGACGTTGATATATGGTGACAGATCGTATATATCAATTACGTCTTGTTGCAAGATATGATGTACTTTCTTATTGGATTTCTAAAACATTAAGTAAAAGCAATAGTAAAGAAATGTATCCTAAAATAGATAGAATAAAACAATTTCTCTGTTATGAAGAACAACAGTTGCATGTTTTAATGCCTCATGGATTACACTAATATCTTTTTTCTTAAGAATTGTTATAATGAAGTTATCTTCCTATGATATTCTTATTTGATAATTATCTTTTTATAGTAAAATCAAAATAGAAAATATTTTCTTTGATAATAACACGGAAAAAAAAATAATCTTTCCCGTTTAACAAATTAAGATTTTCAATATTTGAGAAAAAAAAAGAATTGTGTTTAATTGAAGATTTCAAAATCATCAAGTATTATATGATGTATATGTAAATAGAAGACGAGAGGGAAAAACTAAAAGAACATTTTGAACATTGTCAACTTTTCTACTAGTTCTTATATGTGTTAAGGCCTCTCCCCCCCCCCCCCCTCCAAAATCGATTTTCGCTATAGTACGAGGGAATTTCACGAAACTTTCCAGGAATGTTTGGCTCATAGTTGTACATATATAAAAAAATTTTCAGAGCTCTAAACCTTACCGTTCGAAAGATTTCGAACAACCAAGGGGCAAATTAGGGCTTCCACGAGAACAAGGAATTTTTCAGTACACTTCAAGCTACAGCTCCCGGGGTAGTCTTATTTGAAAGAGAACTCCTTGCTGCTTCGGATGAGGGAAGGGATTTTTTTAATTTATATTTTATTTCATTTTTGTAACTCTCGAAACCTTAAAGTTCTAAAACCCCTAGCCAAGGTTTTCTAGAAAACCTTTGGTTTTTTCAATATTAAGGGTCGAGTACAAATTCCATTTCCCTCATTCGAAAGAGGATTCATCAATCTATCGAATAAAAAAAACCGCAGTTCGATGGAACGAACTATAGTGAAAAAAAATTTGTTCGGAGTTTCTCAATTTTGCCAAAAATCAGTTTTGAGAAAAACGCGCGAATGTTTTTTTCTTAGAATATTTTGTTGAATCATCTTCATACATCAGAGAGAAACGTAGTTATATTGTATATCAATTAAAAGCCCATCAGACGTCTCACCGAGTAGGCGTACAATAGTACACCGTGTCATTGTTGGTCATTATGAACGATAAAAACAAGTGGGTCTATAAGTTCTCTATAGTCTTAGGTACCATGTTTTTTGTTAGAAAGCTTTAGAAGTTCATCGATTATTTTAAAGAAGTCTTTCGAAATTGGAAGTGACTTTCATGAATTTTAAAACTAGACACCTTGGAGGTAACATCCATATGTTTATCTCGAAAACTGAACTTTTTAAAAAAAAAATCGATTTTCGGAGGGGGGAGAGGCCTTAAAAGAAAAAAAATACATTCATGATCATTTTCATTTATTTCTGATTCAATTATAGATAAAATCATAATGTTTAGTAATAAAATCTAAAGAAAGATTTTTTTAACATTTTTCAATTATTATTCTATATATTTACTTTTTTTTTATTTTCTTTTTAGAACTTCGTGATCGAAAAATTATTCGTTTCTGTGACTATATTGAAGTATCTGAATGTGATGATGTTGATCGACGTGCTGATAAACCATGGACACGTTTGACACCACGAGATAAACAAATGATTCGAAAAGAACTTAATGAATATAAAAGTTCAGAAATGGAAATTCATCCAGATAGTGCAAAATATACACGTTTTCATCCTCCTTAGTAGTAAATCATTTTACAGTTATACATATGAATTCCGACTTGCTGCTCTCTTTATTTCATTTCTGTACAGAATTTTTTTTTTTTCTAGCAAAGAAAAAAAAAGAAATTTTCTTCCAACTAGAGCAGCAAACAAAAAAAAACAAAACAAAACAAGATTTTCTTCATCCTTGCTGTGATTTTTTACCATGTTCATATATAAATGTTTATTTCTGTTTATCGACCTATTACTACTTCTAAATACACATACATTTATTTTTTTGGTTGAAATCTTTTTTTTTTTTTTTTGTTTTTTTATTTACCAAACAAGTAGTGTGTATCGCGCCCTATCGATCAAACATTATTCATGTATAGTTTCTGATCTTAAATTCAGACCGGTTTTTTTTCGTTCTTCATATTTTTTTCTCGCTATTATTATTGTTCATGATGAACATTAGATTTTCTTTTTTTTGGTCTTTTCATTAGTCTTTTCTTTTATTGTTCAACACATTCCATACATAATTAAAAACATGTAATGATGTATATCTATGATCAAACATGTTCTCTCATTTGTTGAATAATGTTTTTTTTTTTTCTTGTAAAACATTGGCTTGAAATTTTTTTTGTCTATATAAAAAAAAAAATTAATTAAATGAACAAATTGATAGACAATTAAAAAAAAAAGCTTATGTGCTTCATATGTCTTTTTGTTTATCTATTAAACAATAATATTTTTCCAGATTTTCATGGTCGAAAATTGATTTATCAGTAAAGAGAATTAAAAAAAAAAATAAAAGAAATTTTAATCGAAAAATTAGTCATTTTTATACAAAAATTATTCGAAAATAAAAATGTCAAAAAACGATTGTAATCCAACATCATCGACATCAGTTCTTATAAATACATTGATTGTTCAAGAAATCTCGACTTTAATTAATAATAATCAATTTAATGAAGCTCTTGAGTATCTAAAATCTTTAACTGAACAACAAATCTATGATAACACATGGGATTTATGTACCTATCTATTGGATTTATCAGAAAAACCATCAGATAAATTATGTAATGAATATGAATTATATTCACAAGATGCCTTAATATATGTAGCAGAACATGGTAATCCTCGTGAAATGTTAATTATAATGCTTGAACAAACGGATAAATTTATATCTGATGAAGCTTTTTTATTTCATATAAAATTATTTCTTATAATTATTAAACGTTTACCATTAAAACCTAGTTTAATAACATCAATTGATGATATTCTTTCATTATTAAAATGTCATTTGACTGCACTCGAATTACCAACAATTAATAATGATTTTGCAGGTTTTATTTAATTAATAAAAGCGAAAAAAAAGAACACAACGAATATATATATATATTTTTTTTTATTCTTTTTAGGTAAAGATTTATTAGTATTTAATCATGATCAACGTGTTACACATTTACTTAAACTTACTCAATTCTATGTTGATTTTATTTGTCAACTTCGTGATTATTTTTCAACAACAAATATAAATAATATTTTTTCTATTCTAACAAAATATTTAATTTCTCTTTTACAAGAACCACTTTCATCACTTAGTTATGAACCTATTAATTCACAAGAAAGTTCATCATTTACATTAATTCGTCCATTATTAGATTGTTTATTTACACTTAATCCAAATCCAATTCAATTAATTAATGATAAACAACAACAATCTATTTTAATTTATTTACTATTAACAAAAAATAATTATTTTTCATTATTACCATGTGTTTATTCATCATATTTTTATCTTATTCTTAGTATTCCATCTATTCAACAATTAAGTAATGATCGTGAACATGTTATGTTAACAGAAAAAGCATGTGTACTTGTATCAAATG